TTTTTTTTTTTTTTTTTTTTTTTTTTTTGTCTTCATATGAGGTTGGTTCTTAATTTTAAGTATTAAATATATAATTTTTAAATTAATAATTTAAATAATATATTTTTTCAATTAAAAGAATCACATTTTCCTTCCACCTAAAGAAAATCTATTCTATAATATTTTAAAAACATTTGTCACTTTTATCCCTTATTTAATTTATTAATTACAAAATATTCCATTAATTTTTTATTTAAAAAAAGAATATCATATTGAACAAATTTACATGTTTTTGTTTCAGAAAAAAAAATCCACGTCATTATTAAATATATATGGTTGATTAATTCGTTATCAATAATTAATTAAAAATTAATAATCAAATTTTAAATACATATTGGGTATAAATTATTTACAAACTTTAAATTTTTTTTCCCTAATAAACACTTCTCTTTCAATTGAATTGCTTTCAAGGACCACGTAGACGGCACGATGACAGGGTGGACTCGGCTTGATATGGCCCACCACAGTTGTGTTCGTGTATGGCTGTTCGGCCTTCCACGTGTCGATCGTTTAATCGCTAAATTCGAATTCCCCAAAATAATTGTCCCATAAATTATTATTTCCAAGGCTTTAAATTTTATTAGTTTTTAATGAAAATACCATTCCGTCAATTTCAATCTCTATATTTTTAAATGTTTAATAATTAATTTATTGTTAATTTTTTATATTAAAAATTAGCCATTATTAGCTTTTCTTCTATAAATTTTTAAAATATATTCACATTATTATTAAAAATTATCAAATTTTGTTAAATAAGCTAATTTTAAATGGGAAAATAATATTAATTTCTAAAATTGTTAAAATATTACCCTAAATTATATAAAAAAAAATAATTAAGGAGGCGAAATTAAAGGGTAAAAAGGGAATAAAAAGCAACAAATTTGAAAAGCAGAAAAAAACAAAAAGAGGCAACAGAAATCGCCGTACGTCTTAATTTGTACGACGGACGGTGACGTCGTTTTGATTTATTTTTTAATCTCTTCCGGTTACTAAAGGTCAGCGCAAAATATGATTCTTACACGTGGACATATGAGGACGCAGACTGATCGGACGGCTGACAATGAAAGTTCGAAATAGATGGACCCCACAGATTTGTGTGGGCCCCGACTGATATTCGACCCATGTGGCATCATAGCCATATAAAACAAATATTCCACGTCATATTGGCTGGCAAAGAAAAAATCAACAGAAAAAAAGTTAAATATTTATGATTAATTTACAAATTTTGTATTTATTGAATATTAAATTTAATCCCTTATAAAACTCATAAATAATTTTATATATTATCAAACCATATAGATTATTTAATATATATTTTCTTAAATTATAAAATTTCAATTTAATCGATATTTATTTTATAATAAGGTTGTTGTTGAGCGGTTATTTTTTAATTATTTTTGTTTGGAATAAGTTGTTGATGAATTGATTAGGTGTTTCTTTGGATTACCTTTTAATTTAATTTAAGCTTTTGTTTAAAAAAAATGTTTTAAATATTTGATTCTACGAACCAATAGGTTTAAAATTGTACTTAAAACATTGTGACCAGTCACTCTCAGTCGTAACATCGTTGAAAATAGTTGTAGATGGTGACTGGGCGATCGATAGCTAGTAGCCTTCGATCACCGAAGATGGTCTTCGATGGTTGGAGGAATTCGAAATCAATATTTTAAATGTTGTATGGTGACGTCATATTTTTTTAATTATAATTTTTTAAAAATAAAAATGGATTTAATTTAAGAAAAAAGATTAAAAATAAAAAGGAAAATAAAAATAGAAATATTGTAAAATTAAATTGGATGTAATTAAACAAATAATTTGTAAGGAAAGAAGGGGAAGCCGTGTTCCTTGCGCGTCTCTCTTTCTCTCTCCTCTGTAACTTCGAGAGCTCTTTACGACTGTAACGCTCTCCTCTATAAATCCGTAGCACCCGCCATCCGCTTCCTTCATTTCACACCTTGTTTCTCTCTCCTCTCTTTCTCTCTCTTCATTGTTGATTTGTGAGTGGAGAGCACTGTGTTCTCGTACTGCTACAACGAAAGCGATTAATCAGATTCATTTTGAGGGTTCAATCGAGGTAAATCTGGAGCAATCCATTGCCAAAAGGTACTTTCCATTTATCAATTTGATTCTCTTTCTTGCGTTCAATTCAGAGAGATTCCTTTTCATGTTTCAGTTTCCGAAATAAACCTAGGCCGTTCCTTGGATTACTGTTTCTGTTTACCCGATTTAGCTATGTTTTTTTTTGTTATTGGTGTTGAATTACAGAACGTTATTGTTTGATTCGTGTGGATTTGGGAATGGGATTTGCTTTCTTTTATGGTTTAGGGTTTGGGAGGTTTTCTTATTCTGGTTTGTTTTGTTTGTGTGATTAGGTTTTTTTATCTTCGAGAAAATTTTTGTGAAGCTTCTAAGGAGAAGCTGCCTCGTTTACAACTCTGGCCGACACCGAAGTGATTTCGTCTCAATCGCTCTGTAGTATTGGTCCTTTTCGTGGATTTTCTGGTCCATGGGCGTCGTTCGATTGCTGTTTTCTGCTGGTTCGACGTCTTCCAATCGATTACGGCTAATGTCAATCCGATCGTTCTTGTTTTGAAAACAAAATTGTATTGATCTATCAACATCGTTAGCGATGTGAGCATTGGAGTCATTAATTAAAGAAAAGTGTTGATAGGGCCAGGCGGAAGGAATAGTTCGTGGGAAAAGGATACTAACAAGAACCGA